GCTCTTCACTTCCCATGTGTTCTCTTTCTTGGTTGGCGGTGTGTTTTCCTGAACTCGAAACTGCTGACAAGCAACAAATCAAACCAAGCTGTCAGTGGCTTTTTCTGTGGGGAGCACACTGAGCACACCTACCACTTTCCACAAAGTTGTGGGCAAAAAGATGCAAATTGTTATGTATGTAACAGTGTTACTTGAATATGTTTGAAGCATGAGGAGTTAAAACAACAATTATTGAAGCAGATATATATATATATAGATTCTTGGACTTCTATTTCAGTCTATTTCAATATATTTGCCGCGCTTGACACTTGAAGTCCACTCTACTATATTGCATTGGAAGCAATAGCTAACAATCGCTAACAATCTACCGTTGTACATGCTTGCTTTGATCGACCACCCCTTTCGGACATTATTTGACATCAAATCATATCATTGTGACATATTTTGACCGTATTTCGGTTGCGAAGCACTACAGCCAGTTCGCACTATTTAGTGAGAAGCCACTGAAGAGCTGAGGTTCGGAATGGTTGGTTTCACACAGGGAAGCCATGATTGCATGTCAGGGGGCCTTTTGGGGTGGCCCTTTCGGGCTTCGCTTGCGTGACTCGTGTCCAAAATTGTGGCCAATGCGCTCCAAGTCTTTTGTGGGCCCAACGTGTGCGATATTTTTAATGGCAAGGCAGAAGAATCTGCCAGCGATCATTGAATTCGCTCTCCGAGTAAGGCAGCACTGTCTCAAAGAGGGTTGTTGTTGCAACAATCGGTCTGGACCGACCGTCAATTGGTCGCATCTTGGATGCATGATCACAGTGCTGTCTCATGCTGGTCCCGTGGCAGAAGTTGATTGGTGCCAGCTGCCAGTGAGAATGCTCCATGGCTGTGTGTGTAGTCGCCTACGACTATCGAAGATTGGGGTGCGAGCAGGGGGAGAGCAGAATCGCACCAGCAGCTGTTGATGGAAAAGGAGTGAAGCCAGTGCTCCCGTCCTAATTACAATGCACTTTTGTTCTGTCTCTCCACATGTTTGTCCGCACTGTGTAAGCGGAGGTTTGCCTTTGCTCTGTAAACAGATTTTTTGCGCCCAACGCGCAGCTGCGGCTAGACATGTCGTAGCGTGTCGAAGGACGTGATCGATTGTACAAACGAAACGATTGGTGGCAACCTTGGCTCCAGCCTCAACATCATGTCCTTGACAACGATTTCATTGTTTCAGATGTACCAGGTACCAGGACTTGAAGAGATTCAAGGCTCGATTTCAAGGCGATCTCACCCATGTCCAGCTGGGTGGAGATATGCGTTGCTCGGAAGATGCGGCTGAGGGTGTTTGGGCCCTTCATGCCCCGAAATGGCAGGATGTGTGAGACATATCCGTGAGTGTGTGACACCCCCTTTGAGGTGTGCATGCTTGCGACTGTGTAGCTTCATTTCTGCATGGCCAGCCATCCAGGAACATGCGGAATATCGTTTTGGCAATGTTGAATGAACCGTCCAAAACTCATGGAAGCCACCTTCAAGGATAATTGAACCCAAGAAATTGAACATGTCCCTGGAGACGCTGTCATGGCGGGATTGATGAATACGATCGATTTGGTTTGAAGACTTGAGGATGTTGCCCATGCATACCTCAGGCAGCATAGAAGTGTGTATCGGGTGTGTGTCATAGACAATGGATGACAATGGCGAACGTAGCAGCCTGTTGCCTCAAATGCAGAAGGGACATCTCGATGAGCAGTGTGATTTGCAGAAGGGAAGTGCTTCTTTGTTGGGAAGGGATTTGCTTGGCCGATCCTATGCTGGAAGAAATGGACTTATGAATTTCTCCGGGTACAGTAGAAGGGAGGACTTGCACTTTCTATCACTTTCTAGTTTTTGGTGTTGTGGTACATAAGCTCCCGCATGCGCAAAAGGGCTGGCGATTGCTTGTGAAATCAAAACAGTCGGTACACACTCTGTGTTTGCCAGAAATGGGGTCATGCGTGTTGACTGTGTGGTGCAACAAGACTGCAGCCGTCATTTCCCTGATCTCATGCTGTTGAAACTAGGCCAATCGGACTTACCTAAATTGACAACAAACAGGCTGTAGTTTGTAACATTTGTGTTGGTAGGTGTTCTGATCATAATCCAATCAATAGGCCTTGGTCATCAGACCCCAAGCAAGAGATCACAAAGGGTCTTTGCAACTTTTAAAACCGCCGTTTGGATGCGGTTGTGCCCGTGCCACATGCAGTTGATGGCAGTTGCAGTGGTCGGAATCTTGTTGAGGTATGGGGCACCATTGTTTGCAACCTGCATGGTGAAAGACCACCCATGGTCCAAGAAGCAAGCTCAATACACTGGAAGGACTCCATAGCGGCTATAGCGGTGGCAAGTCAAGCTGTGTTTGTTTAAACGATTGAGGCGAGTGACATCGGACCTGCTGTAGCCGGTACATATAAGGACCCAAACATGAGCTGGCACGTCACTGGACAGAAACGCCAGCACTTCATCCAAAGAAAGCGTTGGGGGTTGAGACATATATTTTAGGTGATGGCGCTGGCCGTGCGCGTTCTTTCACTCATCGACACCACACACATACATATTTTTTTACAGCATATGAATTCCCGGAAGTTGACCAAGACATCCAACTTTAACTGCTGAAGTGAGGGTCTACTGAGTCTACTGCCTTTGGCCGGAAGTGTGGGCACTACTGGCACCTTTCGGAGGCATCCAGTGATCTGTGCAGCGACCTTCGAGCGCCCCTTTTACTGTGTCCGACATCGGGACATTGGATTCGTTGATGTGTGAGGTTTGATATTATTGCCTTCTTTGGTTTCTACGTGGTGTCCTCTGCTTTTGCAGGCTCTTTTTCCTAGATTCATGAGCTTTGGTCAGAGTGCGCCCCATTTGTTTCTTTTACAGTCTCCACGGATGCCTTAGTAGCTGCTTTTCATGAGACAACACAGTCCAGATTCCATCCAGAGCCACACACAGCTCGTCGCAGTAGCTTCTGAACCGCTGCTTTTTTGACCCAGGCATGCATCCCCTAACCCACCAAGATGCAAACTGGCAGCTAGCAGCTAGCAAATATTAGTGCAATGTGAATTCACAACGCCAGGCACAAATGCTTACAACTTTTCCAAGATCACCTACATTGTGACTAACAAAGTTGTTCATAATTCTTGCTGACTTGAGCACAAAGGGAAACAATGGTTGATTCAAGGCTTACAGAGAAGTGACTCTGACTTTCGGTGAAGTTCGAATCGAAGTCCTGCACAGTGATGTACAGTATTTGGATGCGCTGCATGTTTTGGGCGATTGGACTGCAGATGTCGACAGAAAAAGCTGAGCTGCAATTCGGCGCTAGGCAGTTTGGAACAGCAACAGCTATTGGAAGTTGATTAAATTGCACCTCGACAGTGACGCTATTGTTGTCCTAATAGGTGGATTAGACTTTTGGTCAGGTCCGTCCGCGTCAAGGTGTGGCCTCACGTTAAGGTCCGTCACGTCGCAACGTGCGAGGTTTGATTTTCGCAACAGCGGCGCCCTTCGGCAACGCTACGACTCCCTGAAGTACGTGGTGAAGCGGTGCCAGGGGAGGGCCGGTGCACGCTTGCAGAAGCAGCTTGTGGTAAGAACTAACCCTGATAAGGATCGTCTATTATCGTCTATTCACTGTTTTTGTCTTGTTTGTGTTTTGCCTTGGTCAGAGGCCTATGCAATTGCCTCACTCGGGCCATGCCTAGCAACAGCAATAGTCAATAGTTTATAATAGGTGGCCATCATTGTAACACTTGCACCTGCAGTGAGACAATCTCAGCATGATACTCCTTTGTGGGCCGCTAGGTCGGCTCAAGACGGACACCTGTCATCACAGCATGGGCCACCTTCTGAAACTCTCAAATTCAGCTTGGTTTGGACAACACTGATACCTACGAGCTTGTCAAAAGTATAAAACACATTGTTTCCTGAGTGCGGCTTGCTCAATTTGTTTGTTCAACCTTCTGACCTACGGCGACCCAGAACCACTCTAAAGGTGCCCAATATTGTTCAAACAAGCGCTTCAGAACATGGAAGCAACACGCTTGAGCCACAAGTTCTTTGTACCTTGCAGTTCTGGGATGCCATAGCCGCCATGGTGATGCAACACCTCACACAGGCCTTGACACACTATCGTTGTGCAGTGAGCATAACATGCGCTTTCTTTGAGTGCCATTTAGTGTGTGCCTTAAAAACATACAGACTAATATAGTTATGTGTGTATGTATGCCAATACAAAAATAGCATACATACTGTATATATAATATTAAGTATTCTACATGTAAACATACGCCAATTATGTATATATATACAGTAATAGGTATGCATACAAAGTACATATACATTGTAGTGGACATTTAGTCTACCGGTTCCCACGAGAATACTTGACACCGATCGGAGTCCATCAGTACTGGCCCTGGAGGTTGCTATTCCAGGCCGCATGCTTTTGGCTGCGGCTTGGACTGACCGCGATGAAAGCGAGGCCCTCCTGTCATCGATCAGATTCCGCACAGAGGGGCAGTCACATCGAAGCAGGTCTAACGATGCCACTTGAAAGGAGCACCCCTTTGCGCATCAATGCAAAAGAGCCCCAATTGCAGACGCATCAGACAGCCCTGTTATGTTGGAGGCCTCACCAGCGCCACGGCTTGACTGCGGCAACATCCAACTGGCAAGACGGGCAGGTTCGGGTGGAGCTGACTCAAAAACGAACCAAGCGCAAGTTGTGACAGTCCTAGAGGTATAGTTCTACCTCCGCTTCACTAACGTGGAAGTGGAAACGGGCCCTTGGGAGGACAATTTCCTTGTAGGGACAGGCTGGTTTCCACACCCATGTTAGTGAGTCGAAGTGTAATTATTGATTGTTGATATTCCTTGCTCCCTTGTGTTTTCTTCATATAATATATGCTGCCTCTACCTTGATTGAAGCAAAGTCGTTGCCCGCAGGCCGGGTGGGCCTCGAGAATCTCGGTAATACCTGCTTCATGAACGCCGGCTTGTTCCTGGGCAAGATATGGCAAGATGGCAAAAGCCTGTCACCCCTGAGCACTGACCAGAATCTAAAAGGGACATAAAAGGACAATTTTAGGGAACATCAGTTGAACATTGCGTCATCGTGTGTGCCGTTTGGTCACTGAGTTGATTCTTTGGGATTCTTGCTTTTGATTTGAGCTCGATCAAGGCAATGCCTTAGTCATATCGAGCCATTTGCGGCCTTCTTCCTGAGTGGAAGATATGCAGGCTCGTTTGGTAATTGTTCTGTGCAGCTACTGGAGGTCCTCCTACTTGGCTGTTCAGCCAGGTGAAGTCAACGAAGCAAACCCCATGGGCTCCAAGGGGCAGCTCGCCGAGACCTTCGCAGAACTGCAGAAGGCCCGGTCCGGGACGACTCGAGAAACTTCAACTTGAAAACATGTTTTCATTCCCAATAATGGTGATGGCCTCCAACCTACTCGTACTGGGGATGGCCTCCAACCTAAGAGACCGTCACACCTCCATTGAGATCTTCCAGTACCAAACGATGCAGGTGGTTCGGATGTTCTTTGTGGGATATCCTGTCAGACCAGACACATAAAGTCGCACTTGTCCTTTCGGATCCTTCTTGGCCTTGCATTTACAATGAAAGCTAAGTCACCTCAAGTCAACCATGTTTCCATTCACAAGTCATGTCATGGAGTCGGGGACCCCAGATGGCGGACAATACGCAAGTGAAAACTTGAGAAGATGGCTGCGCTTCACAGTGAAAAAGGTTTGGAACATGGATAGTGTTGCTTCATGGTGTTGGAACAAAGCCATTGCAGCATGCTAAAGGGATCGTAGCTTTCTTTGCTCACCCAACAGTCACAGTCTTCGCTCTTCAGGTTCTTTGGCAGAGTGAACGTCCAGCCCAGACACTCGGCAGCAAACCTTTGACTGGTGACGGACGACAGGATAAGCACAATCTATTTGACTCGGACATCCGAGGAATCCTGGTGAGATAAAGCGGCGACTGGCAAAGATAGCTCCTCACTTGTTCCAGGGCTATGAGCAGCAAGATGTTCAGGACACTCAGATACCTTCATATTTTACACCGGTCGCAGAAATGTTGCCGTGCTGCAAGGGCTTTCGCAAGTGCAATTCGTTCAGCAATTCGCGCTCATAACGGACATGTCAATTTTTGTGCGACTGCCACTGTGGCTCAGCCCCAGGAATTTCTCGCATTTTGCTTGGATGGCTTGCACGAGGTGCCGCTTTTCTCTCACAGAGTGTCATAGGGGTAGAAATGGTAGAATAAATGAATCATCGCTCAACAAATTGAAGTCAACTATGCCCATGTCACAAGTTGGGTTCTTCGGTTTCTGGGTATGTCAAAAGTGAAGTTTACAATTTACAAGTTTATATATGTTTATATTGTACACATACATATGCATGCGCACTGTTGAAAGTGCAAATTGCATTTGAATGTCGTGTTTGATAGAGACCAGTTTGCGAACGTGCCTGTTGAAGGTAAACCCGAAAGTTCGTCGGGTGGTGCTTTGGGAAAAGCTCGGGATCCGTTTCGCAGGACCTGAGCCGAATCAGCGAGGCTCCGCCTGCACGGACAGAAGCTGAAGAACAGGCAGATGAACGTAGCTGCATTGGCAAGTCAGAAGAATTTGCTCCTGGGCTATGTGTTATGAGCATTGACCAGATGATTTAAATTTATTTAAAGTTGCCATAATAATTCTAGTACGTTTTTTGTTTCAAACTTCAGAAGCTGGTATGATGGGACAGCTACAGCAACAGCTACAGCTGTTTGAAAGGCACAGTTTGTTAGAAGCAGATGGTCTGTTGTTTTATTGGCATGTGTAGCCTGTGTCCAGTGTAGTCATGAGACTTTCACTGTGGCTGCACATTTTGAGATTCCAATTGTGCGCGTCGTTTCCTGAAGAACAATGCATCTCCACTTGCAATAAGTGTGATTGCCATGCCTGCTGTAGTTGCGATCATGCTTTAGGGCTTTGAGAGGCTTTTCCGGACATCGTATAGGTCTCGAATGTTAAGTTTCCCTTAAAAAGAAGATTTTGGACCCAAATGAATAGTGTTCGCGCGTGAGCTATCCTGCGTCCTAAGTAAACAAAGTAGTAGCTTCCTAGAGGTAGTAGCTACCTGAGCTACTTCCTACCTCACCTCCTAGCGGCCTGCCCACCCTAATAAATACAAAAATATAACGCATATACAACAATAAGTAAAATGTAGTATTCATAATACAATATAATATATATATATACATATCTAATGTTATATCCGCAATAAGGCTGCCGCCCTTGCGTGGATGCGATACTTGGAGCGCTCCAAGTCATTCCTGGTGGATTTGATGCAGGGGCAGCTCAGATCCTGCCTGTGCTGCATGCAGTGTGGCCATCGGTCCAGGACCTCGCTGTCGGACCTCGCTGTCTCGTTAAATTTCTCTCTTTGCCAGATGTGGATCTCTGCTCTTTGCTAGATGGGATTTGGAGTAAGTAGCTTGCAAAGTACTTCAAGGCACACACACAGCGGCTCGCCGTGTTGTCAGCCTTCAAGTTAGCAAGCTTTTTGGAAGTGATGAGTTGGCACCATTTTGCCAAAGAGGAAGTTTGAGCCGTTCATGTACCTCTCATTGCCGGCATCCTGGCTATTACACGGAAATGTGGCTGCGTGCCAGGCTTCATTTTTGCAAGCAGCCGTTTCTCAGGGATCACCATCACACCTATTATATCCTATCCTATTATATAATATATATGGGCCTAGCTCAGAAGTGAGAAGAGTAACATAGTCTATTTTACCTTTCCTAACAGAGTCCAAAGACTCAACATGACTCAACATGACTCAACCATGCTGACGCTTCAAAGACTTCCTGCATTTTGGGATCCATGGGCTTTGCGAAGACGTTTTTCCGATCAGGAGTGGCCAGTATGTCGGAAGCACTTGACAATATCGCTCATGATTGAAGATTCTGAATTCTAACGGTGTCTTCCAGTTTAGTGCTTTGTCATATTGTTCAGGTGACCCAAGAGATGTCAACCGTTTCGGACGCAATGCGCGAATACACCAAAGAGGAGGTTCTCTCTGGCAATGAGCAATGGTTCTGTGAAAAATGCAAGGCCGCGGTGGAAGTCGTGTATTCTTTGCGGTGGTGGTCTGAGGGCATTAGCTGTGTGCAGTTATGAGCTGCTACACAATATAACAGCATTAATATTGTTAATTTCCTTCTTGATGGACCATGAGATGATGGAAAGGCCAAAGTCGACACTAAGAAGAAGATTGACCTGTGGCAACTTCCGCCAGTCTTGGTCATCCACTTGAAGCGAACCTTGACTGCAAAAAGGCCACCAGACGGTACAACACGGGACCGACTTCCCTTCGCGTGTTTCCTTAAGGCTTTGAGTTCGACGTGCGCTCTGGCTACTTCCGGAAGATCAACACACCCTTAGCCTGCGACTTGACCATCGACCTTTCTGGCTTCTTGCGCTGCAAGGTACACCGCCGTGCTGTTCAACTTAGAAGGAACTAGTTGTTCAACTTAGAAGGCTTAATTTGAGGTCCTTGAGAACCAATTCGGTTCATGCCAAGGGGTGAGTATAAATATATATATATACATATGTATACACCTGCTTCATGCCATTTAGTTTGGTGGAGTTGATGCCCCAGCCACCAGGTAAATGTCTTGTTCTTTTGCTTGATGGCTTGATTGTTCCAGTGTTTCTGTTGGTTTTCCTTTCAACTCGCACTTTCTCAGCCTTTTTCACTGCTGTTGTTTTGTTTGCTGCATCTGCATTTGGCCGTGAGCGGGTTGAAGTGGGGTAACCTGACCAGTATAGCAGAGAGTCTCTTGTTCTTTGCGTCGAGCCTTTAGCAATGCTGAGTGATTTTTTGATAAATTATTCCATGTCCTGCCATGTCCTGCCCCTAGGCTTCAAACAAATAGACAAACTCGAGACTTGCTAATCCCCCAAGGCGGGGTCCCGGGGGGAGTACTGCATCGATCTAGGATTAGTGCACATGTGTTCTTTGCGTTTGTAGTCGGGGATGCGAAGTTGAAATTCGCTGCTGCCAAGAACATGCAAAATGCCCGCTGAGGCTTTTGTTCATCCACCCAAAGGCAGGGTGCTTTGTATTCAGTCGCGTGTGTTGCAAACCATTCTGGTGCCTACGGAATGGGACACTACACTGCAACCTGCCGTGTCGGAGACCAATGGTACAAATTCAACGATCCTCGACGGCAAGGAGTTGGATGCTGATGTTTCTGAAGAGCTGCAAGCCTTGTGTTGTTGGCCATGTATACGCAAAAGATCACTTGGAAGCCAAGAGCTTTGGATGGGATCATGCTTGGGATGCCAATGAACATTGCTCGCATCGAAAGTATATGTCTCTCGCTCGCTCCCTTCCCTTCCCTTCCCTTCCCTTCCCTTCCCTTCCTCTCACTCTCCTGATAGCTTTTTTAAGCTTTGTTCCTGGTATCTGGACTCAGGATGAAAGGGTGTCTCGACAACCCCCTGATGAGCCTGTGGTGGGGAACAGCGCCTACGTTCTTTTCCTTGTGCGGCGGTCTCTCGAGGACTGGCACACAGGGCCGATGAGATTGATCGGTGTGTGATTTCTACCCAAAGTTTCCAGGTCTCAACGAATCACATCGCTTCACGAATTATAAGGAAGCACATCCAAGAATATACTTCAAGTACATGTTCTTTGCATTTGCTTTGGGTGTGGGTGTGGTTGTTTTCTTTTCCCAGAGTTGTGTCCATTTCGCCCGACAATCTCACATTATATCATTTTCCCCCACTGTACGTAATGGCCTTCAGCTGCGCAGAGCAATGCGCATTGCTCATTTGCTGAGCTTGGTTTGCCAGTCAAATCGCCCTGGCAATAAGACTATATACTGTAGAAATTACATGAAATGATCCAATTGTTTTGTGAGAACCAGCTATTCACAATGAAACTACATGATTAGGTTTGTTTAGGACAAAGCAGGGACGCCCTGCTACCAGGACGGGTACTACTCTGCCGGGCACAACTCACCGTTGCTCAAGCAGTCCCAGACTGAGCTCTCAACGAACGCGGTTGGACACATTGACAACTAAGAAATAACAGGAATCTTCAGAAATATTGGATTTGCAAGTAGCAAATGCATCTTTGTCACTATTTTGTTTTGATGCTTCGGGCGCAAGATCATTGACCAGTTGGGCAGTGAACATTGAAGTGTTGATATGTCACAGGCAGACGATGAATATGCCAGAGCTTTGGCCACATCAGCTCTCGCAGGATTCTGACAATTTGGATGCAGAGAAGCATGCGACGAGATTCAGATCCACTTCTGACGATTTGTGGATCTTCACAGTGGTGCATTGTTTTAAATTTTACATGTTTAAACATTGTACTGATAATAACGCTCCTGGAGTCTTTCCATGGCAGCACAAGACTTCTCCAGGACTTCTCCAGCCTCATGAAGCTGCGTAGGGATGAACCTGCGGAAGGAGAGATCTCATTTCTTGAGATTTGTTGGTTCTTCCTCCTGCTCCTGTTTTGTTGAAGCAGGACATGCCTTATATATATATATATATGTAAAGTGTTTGGAATTCAAGAGCTATGGCGACATCAGCCACTCCAGGGTCATATGCCCTGCAAGGAGCCATCAGCAACGAGAAACCATTATACGTGATGTTGTGGCCTCAGAGAGGAATTTGGCAGAAGCAAAGTTCAAGCAGATTTCTCAAACGACGGGCTGTGGGGGGCGGCCAATCTCTTTTCAATCAACACTGTCACCCAGAACGTTGCTGATGTGAATTTTCACATCGAAGCATTCTAGGCTGTTCCTGCTTGCGAATCAGAATATATATTGAACAATACGATAATGCATATATGCAGTAGATATAACATGCAACACCACTTCTATCACTGCTGAGTGATGTTTCATCAAACGGAACGACCACCTCCTTGTCAGCATCGCTCCGGAGGAAGCTTCCAACACTGCCCTACAACGGACACGACGAACTAAAATCAGACAACGGTAGCAGTGATGAGGACCTTGGTTGATGCTGAGACCAGTGCTCTAATGCAAATGGAGCATGCGATGACCAAGAGGTACAGTAATCAGCAGTGGTGTTGAACCTTTGAATCGGTGTTTTGAGAATTCGCTCCACCACAACATGGTCGTGCAGCGCAGGATGTGGAGACGCCTGTGTGTGGTAGCTTCGGCGGCTGGGGCGGATGGTGGCCCTTCGCATTGACTTGATGAGCTACTTCACCCACGTAGGACGTGCAGTCATGGACCATGCATGGATGAGGCATGTTCAAGCCCTCTTGGAAGCTAACTCGAATCAAACATTTCGCTCCTTGGAACTTTGCGTTAACGTTTTAACGCATTCAAGTGCTAGGCTGCTAGACTTTGACGCAACGCAGGAACTACTGTCTATATATAAATAGTTCGGATGCAATATTGGCGTGTTTGCACATTTGTACATTCATGTGTATAAATATATATGTATGTAATAGTATATGAATCGCAAGTACATTTTGTGGTCATACATGTGTTTATCGGAAGCACTGTGACTCGAACATTGAGCTGCTCCAATTGGCAGGATTTTGGATCGTTTAGTTTTGGTACAGGTGCCTTGATTTGCATGCCAGACTTGCTTCTGCATTCGCCGGACATGTGTGTTTCTGTGAACACAGAGGTCACTTCGCCACCAAAGTGGCGAACGGAACGTCCTGTTGACCGAACGGTTGCGTGGAGACGGACCGCGTTGGCCCCTTGGGCTGCTTGAATTCGTGGATTCAGAGCTCGGGGATGGAGCTACCGAGCCACCGAGCGGAGATGCAGTCCCATGCAGTTGGTATCAGGATGACGTGGAAGTGCCTGTTTTATGGCTGTTCAAACTCTACCGCTACTGCAAGTCAAAGACGTCAAAGTCACATAAAGCTAGCAAAGCTATTTCCCACCTCCACTCTTTGTTTGTTGGATCGTGCTGCGGCAGATTTATAAATTACACACCAGAATTGTAGTAGTTTTATACATATATATGTGTATAGATGCAAGCGTGGTTAAGTACTTAACACCCATTCATCTAGGAAAACATGACTAGTGTTTCTGCCCACTTGGAACACCAAAAGCAAGATTCAGTGAGTGCTGCGCAAACTATCACATGATGCTTGTGAGCGTTTTTAGCTATGCAATAAGTAGCTAGCCATGCATCAGGACTATCATGGCACGTGCAGGTTATTAAGTATGATGCTGCACCATGGTTCAGATCCTAGCTGCTATGTTAAAGCTGCCATGACGTCATAGCATCCACACAGCAACTCCTCTTGCTGGAGCTATATAGCTATACGCTAAGGACAGTCCTCGCTATCAATACGTATCATATCAATACCTTGGGTTTTTCCTTTTAAAGGAAGGCTTTGAATGTGTGACTGCACAAAGGTTCAGATTTTAGCTGCTATGCCGCACGTAACTGCTATGTGGTTGCATCCGTCTCCCATCACTGCACTGCGTAAAGGCCCAGCAGGTTGTTCAGACTAAGATGTTCCAGGCAATCAACAGCCCCGCTACGGGATTTTGGTAGCATCCATCATCCTTAAGCAGTATGTGGTGCTGCTGAGCAGTAACCACCTTGCGGCCATCTCTTTGACGGAAAAACCGACGGCGGATTCAGGTGAGTCGGGGCCATGACTGGCACCTCATTTGCTTGGCCTCACTATCTTTCACGGCTGACCGAACAGGAGATGGTCCACCAGAAAGGGTTTTAGCTTAACAGGTTCTAAACCCATGAAATCCTTGATTGTTTGAGACTGAGATGTGGGTCAAAAGGGGTTTACAGATGCAAAGCTGCACATTTCGTTACTGTTTTGTTTCCGTGTGCACACTGCACTTGCAGGTTGGAGACCATCGTCTATGAAGTTGACCTTGCTTTGCAACGACACAGTTGCACCCTGAGCTGACGTGCCTCACGTTCGTTACCCAACCAGATTATGTTTTTGGATATTTCCACCTTGCGCCGTGCACCACGCAGACCGTTTGTCTTCAGTGCAAAGATCTTTTCTGTCTTGGTTTGCGGGGCCATTGTCGCAGCACTGGTTGACCTGGAAGGTCGGAACGTGACCGTAGGTATAGGTATACTAGTTACCTCAATTATATATAGAAGAAATTGAGGGTATATATATCTTCTATTTGAAATGCATCTGGGAGGGTGCCATCCGTACCATTCAAATAGAAGATCCCATTAATTATTTGATCAAAATGATCAAATTTTTGGTCTTTTGAGCTACTTTTGCATTTTGGATTTTCTGCTCAAAAATATATATATATATATCTTCTATTTGAATGGGCACCCCCAACTCTGCATCTTCTGTTTGAATTAATTCCCGAATATCTTCTATCTTTGAGGTAAACAGTATACATAACGTAGGTCTTAGAGTCTTATATATTATATATAACAAATGTACATACACCATTACAATATATACATACACATGTTCGTAAATTATATATATGTATACATATGCATATACAATATATATATATATGCATAACAACAACATATAATATATGCTACATTAATTATGGATGGAACAGGTCCTATGTCCATATAGGTATCGTAGGTGTTTCATGTGTTTGCTATGCAGCTATGGTTGATGGCATGATGGGCTCCGTGCCTGGCCACAAACTTGCCTTGTTCAGTCCCGCGTTGAATTCACTCGAGAGGGCAATGGAGACAGAAAAAGATAGAGAGAGACACAGGTATGGTAGGGAGCACCTTGGTCGGGACACCGTTGCCGCATTGGCAGTGTGCTGCTTCACAAGCAGCTTCAGGTGCAGCTTCAGGGCCTGCTGAGGTGCGGCGGAGTGAAGTCGAGAGAGAGAGAGAGAGGTGGAAGAGAGAACAGTATCACGCAATAGGTAGACGCTAGACGAACATATTTTAGGCCAAGAAGGAGTTACGTTGATGGCTGCGCAAATCAAGCACAGCGCCTCAGGCACCCAAGCGGACAAGGCTCTCAAGTTGCATTGAAAGGGGTTTTGGCCGCAGGGGGCATGTAGTCCTACGACGTACGAGTTGGGGGTATGGGTCGTTTCGACATGTCAAAGTCAACTGCAAGCAGGTCCCAGCTGATTCTTTCGACATAGCGGCACATCGTATTTGCTCATTGACCTGAAGGTCTGCAGAACCTGACGGAGAAGCACTTGTCAAGGCAGTGGACCTTGGCCTGTTGAACAGCATCAAGGCAGGCTGGGCTGATTTGAAGGAGATATAGTGATATGTTTTCATGTGCTTGACGGTGCTTGTCATACCACATCACACCACTTTTTTGCGCCAATGTTTTTGACTGGCATGAGGAGCGATACGACAATTTCACCGACATGCGAGAGCAGGTGTGGATTTTCTTTACTATGATGCTATGTATACTGTATATTGAATTGCATGGCTATGGCGATGGCCATAGACTGGTGTTCGATCCTGACATTGGTTTGGCAGGTCATCAAGCGCTCTCGGGACATCGGCAAGGGCGCCAAAAATGCTGTGCAACTTGGCTTGGCCGTCGTTACACTTCCAAGTTCGGGCTCTCCACAGAACCCCAGGTGAACATAAGAGGGCAAATGAGGCATGTGAGCACAGTTGCTATCATTTGCTTAGAAGACGAGCAGAGCATGTACAGTTGAACCTGCACAGCAGCACATTGTGGTCTAAAGCCGTGGTTGACTTCGACGACTCGCAAGGTATGCCCTTCAGCGCGCAGACTACCCCAAGGCCGGGCCCGGCCCAGCATAAAAAGAACAAACACAAGTTGTTGTTGCTGTAAGTCGGCCCCCATTGTAGCAAGTTAGACACTTCAACTGTTCCAAAGGCTGCCAGTGCATCAGGGCATCAGCTTGTGTCACTTGGTTCTCGCAGTTCTCACCAAAGCTTGCTCAGGTCCTGGCTGTGTAATCCGTAGTCCACTCGGTGCATTGCAGTATGCTGACTAGAAATCAACTACACGCCCAGATCTAGGTGACAACCCCACAAGTCAATCTAGCTGTTTGACCAAACTGATTGCTGCTTAGTTGAGGTGTATAGCATGGTATAGCGTTCAATTTAAAGGGATTGTTTCATTATGTGTCATTGTCCAATTGCAAAGATTATGACAGCAACTGATGACAAATCGAGCATTACACGAAATCGCGATACCCACCATAGCGCTGCCGTAAGTAAGCCTTGACTTGGCAGGCGGAGGTTTATCTATCACACTGTGCCAAAGAGGCAGGTTTATGATGGAATGAGAACTAACTAAACACGAACCTTTTTGGATCGTCTAACCTGTGATTTAATCAGGAAGGGCAACACAAACATTGATCTGATCCTGGGGCATCACGCATGTTAGATCATGTTAGATCATTGACATTTTGCAGCCTTCAAGACCAGCACCAATTGCACGCTAGATGTTGCTGCAATCCAATTTTGTTGTCAGGCCAGTACAACTTTCAAGGATTTTATTTCAGCAGCGCCGAACCTGCAGCAACACCCAGTGATTCAAGAGTTTGTCCCAGTGGCAGCGCTAAGCTTGGACAACGCCTCGGGGCTCAATGCCCGTTTTTCTCCAAGGCGGCCTGTCGGCTTTAGCGCTGCTTTGGAAGAGATGGCCGAGGCCGTTGCCTACCGCGCCTTTCTAAAGGACAGTCTTGTCATGTCTTGTCCAACACCGTGCTCGATGTCCTTTGATTTTGTTATTTGGGATGCCATGAGGACAGTCGAATCTTGAATAAAGCAGAGCCAACGCCTCGGACCAGGTGTCAGATGATGTCAACTAGATTCCTAGATGCGCAGTCAGCTCCATTCTTGAACCCCAAGCCTTTGGCCCTATCAGTGTTCCATCATGCACATGAATTGTCGGCTTCGGTCAGCTACACGACACCCAGCTGCTGCGCCACACGCAAATTGTCGAGAGTCAATGAACATGAACATGACCATTCATGGCCAAAGGGTCATGATGGGAGGCATTCTCAGCCATGCTTGCTCACATTGCCACACGCCATGACATCCTCCTTCGTTATCGGATTAACCTGACATCAATTAGCAAACTTGTACAATTGTTTGATCAGGGAAACCTGCTGCCAATTTGTCTTGGAAGTATTATCTAAGATATATAAAGGCATTGCAGACTGTTTTTTGCCGGCAAACAGTGGCCATGGGCCAATCGCTACAACCCACTCTGCAAACAGGTAAAAAGACTCATGTCATTATATTGATTCATTTGTTCTCCTGTAGATAGAATGTGCGTGCTGTTCCTAGAGGCCTCGTGACAAGATCTAGATGTCCCGTGTAGTCACTTACTTGGTCCCTCTCATTTTGTCCTAGGCTGCAGGCTGCTAGCGGCCTGCTCGACTCTCAGAACAGAAGATCGAGTAGTAGCGCTGACGTGGGCAGAATACAGCCAGGTGCCGCTGGCGGGCGCCTGCCTGTGCTGAGGTTGCATGTTTCTTTCTGAGGCTCTTCGAGCTGACCTTGCAGGAGTACTTGGGAGGAATTCTGGACCTCACCGGTGAGGTCCCGATATGTGCTGTCGCTTGTGCTCAAAGCATCTCAAAACGACAAAAACAACGTTTTGTGAATCAAACGAGGTTGCTGATCCATATCACTATCCCGTCCATGTTTCCTGCTTGTTGTCGTTCTGTTGTTTCCTGCTCCTTTCCTGTTTTTGTTCGTTCCTTCTTGTCTCTCCTTTGCGAACGCTCCATGTTAATATATTAGTTGTCCTTCAGAGTGCAGAGCATGGAAAGATGTGTAATCCTCCCGATGCCAGGGGTGTATAAAGAAAAGGCGACCCGGGCTTTGACAATCCCACATTGTGTTCTATTTTCCCTCCTCGATATGAGAGGTGTCCAGAACAGTTCTCACCCAGGACTAGCTGCTGGAGGGTGAGAGATGTGATTCTGGATCACACTTTGCAGCTGGATCACGAAGTTTCTAGTGAATTTACAGTGCGCACTGACTCATGTGCACTCATATCCAATGGCCGCACTGGGCAAGTCTTGAAGCGGCATAGTTTTGCAGGTTGGTCGGCTGGCAATCCGCCAGGCAACACAAGGACGAGAGGCACAACTTTGGCAATCGTTTCTTAGAGGGAATAGAAAAACTTTGCTACACTTTGGCTAGCGGCTATCATGTTGAAAAACATGTTTGATCGTTTTGGGCAGGCTGTCAGAGATGTGGAGCTGTGCCTTGCTTGTGTTGACGGAGTGTGCTCTGGGGTCCAGGAGCTCCGCATTTGCAAACATTATATACTGTATTGTTTGCCTCCATTGCCACCAAACATTTTTTGCAACAGAGTTGAACGATGTGCACATCAAGCATAACTTTCAGTTTCCTCAGCGGCCCACCCTTGAAATTGAATGAAATTGACTCTTAGCAGTTTGGCATGCATTTTTGTTGGTGCTTTTTGTATCTTGCAATCATGCTCTTGCGTCCGCGCGTCCCCCAATGTCCTGCAAACCAGGAATCTTGGTCCGCTCCTTGCTCCTTGCTCCTTGCTTGGCTCAATGCCACCACAGGAGCTGGTCTACCTCCCTGGAGTTGGCAAGAAAATGCCTGCTGTGAAGGTGGGACTTTGCGGGGAGTCTCAACCCAATGATAGACATTACATCAGATTATATTCTGATTCTAATTGTAGTATTCATTAGCTTCTTAAGATTCCAACTATTGCCCTTGAAATGGCTTCGCAGTCAAGGCTCAGATGTAAGATGTGCATCACTATGCCTTGGTTTGTTTCCACAGGTATGTATATAATTATGTATAGATGTTCAAATTCATTCAAACCAAGCACTAGATATTGTGTCCTTATCCGGGTTTGGCCTAGCCGAGCGGTTATGATCAGGCGACCCTATTAAAGATCGAGGGCGTCCTCTACGAACTTGTGCGCCAACCTGGCTTGCTGGAGATGTTAGGGAGCTCCAGAATAAGAGCAGCATCACAAGTTATTTCACGTCTTAATCAAACATAATCAAACACTCAATGTGTTAGCACGTGTTATAAGTTCTGCTCCTGACCAGTTATTGCCTTGTGCAGGCGCTCCTTTCACACGCAGGCCTACATGCCAAGGCCAATCGTTTCAGATATCGTTAGTTCGAACAGTCACTGCCCCACCCTCTGAGCTGCTTTTGATTCTTCAGCGACTTTCTGGTTCCCCAGCACCTTTGCAGTATCAGACTCAGCCTTTTGGCAGGCTCCAGAGCCCCAGCGAGAAGACGAAACAAGAGCCACAGACGAGCCATAAAGTGCACAGGCAGCCCGCAGCTTCAGGTGGAATAGGCTACCACGTTTGCAAGGGCTTCATGTCGTTTCAATAACTTTTGCGTGGTCAAGTCAAGAGGCGTGAGGTCCTTGAAGCTTGGCAGTGGCTTTGCCCAGTGGATGTACATAAAATGCTATGGATTGCTCTTGCAGAAAAAGCGCTCATGGTCAAAATGTGCTTCACCAGAATACCCGAATAGCCGATGCTCAAACACAAGAAAGACCAGGCCAACATTTGCAAGTAGTTCATTGTGCATTCAACGTTCTGCATAGATTACGGCCGATGCCTGGCTAGATACATAAAGTATAGCCTTCCCGGAGACCATTGGCTCGCAGGTAATTGAAACGTGGTAATGATTAAACAAGCTAGAATCTAGAATGTACAAGTACCAAAGGAATAACAAATTGCACAACATCAATCACAAGACCTTTCTTTTGCAGAAGCCATTCTGCCACTTGCCGTGACATTGTAGTGAGCTAATTATGTTCTTGTACTTTTTGATTTGGCTCAACTTTTGCAATGCTCACAACTTGGCTCCTGCCTGTGAAACAACGGCATCCAAAAGGCAGCTCTAACCCAGTCAGGGAGTCATTTAGCCTTCAAATGGAGCCAAGCCAAAACAAGCCAGAATGTTCCTTCATAAATAGGCTTGTCATGTCGCATTTGGGTTGAGGATGTGTCAACACCTAATCAGCACATAAATGAGCACAGTAAGACGCTGAGCTGGTGATGTCCCCTGGAGGGGATTGCAGGCCGCTCTCTTCAGGCCCTGGGGTCCAACTGGGGTCCCCTGCGGCTCAAACTGACCTAACTGGCCGCTGCTCCAACTGGCAGGGCAGACATGAAACAGAGTTTTCCTTAACAGACATCAGACCAACACAGTGTTTTGCCACTGACATTTCTTGATTTTGCTTCCTTCCCACATGGCGCGATGCTTTAGCAGCGCTTCGCCTCCAGTGGATGGGTCTTCATGTGTTTCCCCCGTTTCTCTTTGGACAAGAGTCCCGAAGCCTTCGATGATCACGATCACCCAGCCTTCAACTTGTGAAACTTGGCCTCCAGGGCCGGAGACGTCTCGACTGTTTGCAGCTGCTCTCCTTGGACACGTGGTGGACAGCAACAGGGCCGCAGCTTGAGGATGCTTCGAGTGAACGATGTGTAAAAAGATGAAACGTGATTTGTTGGTTGGCGCTTGGCTCAAGCACTTTGAGGCGTGAACATTGATACACTTGTGAGTCAAGTCACTTGTGACTTGTGAGCCATGTCAGCTGGCTTTTGGACTTGCTTCTATGCTCTTTTGTTTTAATACCCCAAGCTTACAATGTGTGTGGACGATGATTATAGTTGATTATATTGTGTTTGAGTTGGTCCTTCCTGCGATAACGGCACTAGAAAGCGTTTCATTTCAAAGGCGAACGAAGAAGAAGATAACCAGGTTTTCCAAGCTAACTGGCATGAATCCCTTGATTATGTTATACCAACGCCTTATTTTGCAGGGATTGTTTAGCTGCCAAGGTGCTGGAGAGTCACAGTGCAACTTTCACGACACTCGGCACTGGCACATGTGAGGGACAAGAGACAACGATCGTGCAATCGTGCCAGCCATTCAACTTTGACACATTTTTGACAGATGTTGTACCAGTCTCAACACCAAATGGGAACCCTCCAAAGACATAGGTAGCGACGATAGCGGAAGAGGGTTGTATAATGACATGTTCGAAGAGGTTTGACAGATGTCCACTGCCAACTGTAAAAACGTGCAGAGACCTGCCTTTGGCCCTTTGGCATCCTTTGACGTTGGCCTTTGGACAGGGTCGACGCGTGTATGCTGCTTAGGTGACACACTTGCCGACGGGAGAATCTTGGGCAGTGAGACGTCGCCTCACAGAATGGCTCCACTTGGAAGAGCCCCATGGCTGCAGATCCATGATTAACTAGGTGGCCATATCAAGATGGGCCTATTGACTGGGCCGCATGATACAAGACTGGACTTGTGGAATAGACCGTGACTCGGAAGGCTTTGGCGTCAACGGACGTTTGGTATTGTTTATTGATGTTCATTGATGATTGACCAGTTTTGGCGATCTCGGAGGTGCTGAGGTGCTGGCTCTACTATACATTACCCCATTTGTGGTATTGCTTGCCATCGGCAATGCCTTTGTGCTTGTAAGGATTTGGATGGGATTGGGCTGGCAGCCTGTGGGGATCATTTCAGGATCGAAATGCTGTCAAAGTTGATAGACGTTGATAAATATATATATATACACTGGGGTGCCAAAAGTTGCGCTTCTTGACTTCTAAAACATCACGAACCCTTTCCCCTTAGAATCCTACGTGCAACATGTCGACACCTCAGTTGCGGTCAGATTTCCACACCTGAAAGCCTTATAAATATAATAAATGTAAACGGGCGTGGAAATCTGACCGCGCTGTACGCGCCACGCAAAATGGACGTGTTAATCGGATCCGCTGTAGACCGCAAGTGTCATGTTGGAACAGAGTAAGAAGCGTAAACTTTAGGGTTCTTGAAGTATATATACTATCCGTGACTGGCTCTTAGAATTCAACATAAGGAATTAGGAATGTAGTTAGAATATACAAATGTAATTCCGAGCTTCCATGCACTTAGAATCTACACCAATGCACTTAGAATATACAAGAGGCAAAACAAAAGTGATACATCTTAGCTCCTTGACTCCTCAATGATTCTTTCTTTAATGAGGAGGTGCCAACAGATAATGGATGCCAAAGATAAAAGCATGCTTTGCTTACTGTAGTAAAGTTACAAATGGAAGTGATAAAGATCAATGGTGTTGATTCAATGGCTGCTCCACCATATATATTCTAACTGCATTGTATTCGATGTGCTATTTTTACCAGGTCTGCCTCAGTGAATTAGATCCTAATTCATGTTTTTAATTGATTCTATATTCTAACTCCTGGTCAGTTGCTGTATATAAATGTGTCCTCATCCAGCAATGCAATCCACAATGTGTAGTAGGATGCGAGCAACAGTGACCGAAGATCATTGGTATCTAAGTTTCCCTAAACATTTAGCTAGGAACCAAATCATCAGTGCGAGCGCTTCTTCAAGGAAGCGTAAGCTATCCTGCGTCCAGTTCCTAGAAGCTAACTAGTCGCCCTTACTCAATTATGTAGGTGCCTACTGAATTAAATAAGGGCATGCTAGCACACAAGAAAAAACATTGATTATCATGATGTAACATGCCCACAAGAGAGTCACTCCAAGTTCATGAGGCGAATGTCACGAGAGTCAGGCAAGCTCTTGGCTCATTCTGCTCCTTGGCTGAATTGGAGTAAACATGCATTGTGTCGCTCAAGAGACATTGGCGACACTACTCTTTCACGCTTCGGTGAACCTCACCCAGAGTCTCTGACGGCCAAGGCACCGGTGCTTGATGCCCGGCCGAGCCGTCGCCGCAGCTCTGGGCTCCACTCCTTTTTTCAGCGGCACAGCATGTCAGACGTTTCGCGGAAGCAGATTGATAGGCTCCAGGCACCAGGGATGCGCTTGTCCAAAAGCAGCATAGCAATAAGGTGTAGAAATCACTCGGGCAAAGTATCATATTTGTTCATACTGTAGCAGGAGTTTTACGAGTGCAGAGCGAACCTCTTCAGGCACGGCTGTCGGAGATGCTTTGCGATGACTCACTGAAGGCGAGCGCCGCCTTGCAAGATTTTCTGGGCCTGCGACCTCCTGAGATGCCCAGCGAAATTTCAAGCTGCAAAAGAGGTAGAAGAAATAAATGATGTCAAAGACTGATGTTCACGTTCAATCCCCCCCAAGATCAAAGGAAAGTAACTGCAACTGAAATCCCGCCTTTGCCCAGAAGGTTCACTAGGGCTTTAGGGAAGCACTGAGCTGCCAGCTTGCTCAATCCCAAGCAGCTTTTTGGTTGCAGTTGTTGGTTGTTTCGGAAGATGCTGATCTATTTACCAACATCCCCAAGAGCACAGGCAGATACGGACAGCCGTTTGTATTCAGATGTGTCAAGTTCCAAGTACAGTATCAATTTTCACGAGTTCATCATTCGCATTGATTCAGGGCCTTTGGAAGGCTTCTCCATTGTTCGTTGGTTTACAGTTTACAGTTTAGGCTTGCAGCACGAGCACCTGAGGATGCCAAGCAGTGTTCGTATTGTGAAACTCCTGGTCCCTTGGGAAGATGCTGATACTGATGCAGGTGCAGAAACAGAACTTTGGGCATATATTTGTCGCACTGTTGAGACTCAACAAAGTCACAGCACATGTTGATTCCCTCTTCGGGACAAAGCAAGGGAGCTTGTACAAGTTAAATTGTACATATCATATGATCATATGATTCATTTCACCTCCTCCATGCAGCGCTTCACACGATCCATGCCCACATTCCTGATGGCTAGGCCGGGGTGCAGAAGTACATGTGGAGGTGAATGCTCGCAGCAACTTTGCTTACTGGTGAAGCCCACGGGTCTTCAGCAACTGACCATCCACCCCGATTGGCCACTGATCACCCACCCTCAAAACACTCCACTTGGCAGTCTTTACAAGTCTTTACGACCACGTTCCACTAAGGCAAGTCCATTGGGATTCGGATTCGCTCACAGTTTCGTGCGACGTAGGGCCCACGGTTCCGCAGCTAGAAGTTTCATGAAGTTTCTATGTTTTCGAAGCTTCTTTACGCATGCTTTGGGAAGCTAGTAGTAACAATTGCCACGCTAGTAGTAAACTAGTAGTAACAAAGAAGCTACTAGTAACAAGTGCATCGCTAGTAGTAACAAGTGCCTTACTAGTAGTAACAAAGAAGCTAGTACTTGGGCTGGTTCCCCTCACACGCAGATAGACAGTCTGTCGGACCGGTCCGGCACCGGTCGGTCCTCCGAGGCATGGAGGTCGACACCGCGCAAGCCATGGCCACTCACGTCATTGCGAAGGTGATCCGACTCCCTGGGCCAGGCGCATGTTCGAGACCTCGAGTGAGTGAGTCATACAACCATAAAGAATCATAATTTCATAAAGATATATATATATATAACATGATGTATATAACGTTTCCATATATATATATATACACACTATACTGAGAATGAACTAAAGTAAGGCCTTCTTGAAGGAGGCATTACTTGTTTTTTGTTGATATGATTACTGTATTTGTTTGATTTTTTAAACGTGTATGTTGCACGCCTTTTTTGAGGGCCTGATTAATATCTTGATTGATTGATATTGGTTGTATGCGTGTGTGGTATCAGTGGGTTGCTATGATTGTTGGAGTCAACCTCGACGATGTGTAAAAGTCAATGTTTTACGTGTTCTCGGTTGTGTTTACGTTAATTACTGTCAGAAGGTAAGGGGGGTCGAAGAGGGCTGTTCTGCAACTGGTCATTGCAGACGGCCAAATACCAAGAATTGGGTAGCATATCTTACATGAGACTTCCACGGATTTCGCCAGGACACGAGGGTATGGAAGAACTTGATGACATCAGCGTACCTGCAACATCACCTGCTACATTGACGATTGGCGGTCTTCAGCCCTCGAGTATGTACGAGTTTCAGGCAGGCTTGCTCCTATTTCACAACTTGGACAAGATGGAACGCCATTTCCATGGTTCATGCAGGCAATGGTGTACTGGCGGGTGATTCTTGAGGTGGGTAGGCACCAACCAGTGGGTAAGTAAAGCCCTGTACAGTCATTTTCCCGTGTCTTTTCACACGGTCTTGGGGTTTTGTAAGATAGCTATGTCTTGATCCTATTTCACCTACTCCCGGGTACCCATCACAAGATGAAGGGCCATTGGGAAGCGTTTGGACGTTGCGCACATTCCGTCGGTAAGTAAAGCCTGGTATCCCAAGTTCTAATTGAAATCAGCAGGTTAGGCCATCGCTAGTAACTAGTATATATATATATATAGGTTGGAGGCCATCGCTAGTAGTTCTCATTGAAGTTGGCAGGTTTGCGCTGTAAATTCTGTGGGCAGCTCTTCCAGTGTTTGCATTCGCGTGCTCGTTCCACCAGTGCCACCGCCCGCTCCTGGACCGCATTGAATGCAGACATGTGGTGTGGATGGACACGAACATTTATGCGGGCACTGTGTGCTGCAAATGGTTGAGACACCTGGGAACAAACGGCATGGCTACTAGGAGCAAGAAGCTACTAGAAGCTACTAGCTAGTAACAAAGGGCATTGCTACTAGGAACAAGAAGCTACTAGTAGCTCCTGGCCTTACTACGAGTAACAAGAAGCTACTAGGTGGAGATTGGACTTGTTGAGCCACTTGACACACTATCGGCCGAACGGCTAAACAAGAGAGTGGCAGATGATTCTTCAATACAGTGGTGGAATGGAGTGGGTAGGATTTGAAGGTGCTCGCACACGACTTTTGTGATCTTTTTTGTGTACTATCGCGTGCTGTCAGTTAGACCCATGACAACCCCGGATGCACAAAAATCCATCCATGATGATTTAGTTTATGTCACCAAGGTTCTTGATGATCCAGAAGGCCTTTGTTGTGAAGTGCTGGCGGGGCAACACCTAGTATCACCTATATAGTCACCAAACTATCAGCATATGGCAAGATTTGTGGAGGCGATGACCCGGCCCAGATGCTGGATGATACAGCAGCTGAAAGCTCAGAACGCCACGGATACGCCAGTGCCTTGGCACCAAGGCCACGTCGCCAAACACGTGTCAAGACCCGAATCGAAGAGACGGTGAACCGTCAAGCCCTTCGGGTAGAGGCCGTGCGAGCGGAGAAACTCGATGGGTTGAGGTCCGCAACTCAACGGGTAGATACTCTGGCGAAGTAACTGCATGAGATGGCGAGGTAGGTGCAAGTCTGTGCAGGTACAAAGATGGATACGAATATCCCACGGTCTGTTCATCGCGCTTTGATGTTCTATACCAAAAGCAAGCTGTGAACATAAAACAACATGGCTGTTCATCCTGCATGATCCTGCAGCAAAACAGCTGATGCACCCTTCCAATCTCGCTCTTGAGTGAAACCCTAATTACTGTATATACAGAGTACATGCATCTATATATATAATTCATATACAACTACTAACTACAGTCTTGATTACCCACAGAACCCGACGTTTCCCATCCTGATCAAGTAACAGTTCTGGGTGAATCAGGTGTGTCCGAGGAGGAGACACGTCAACAAGAACCAACTGCTCCAGGCCTGACACAGCACAATTGTGAATGTGTTGACAGTCAAGTCATGTCAGAACAATTGGATGGTGCGATGGCGCCCTTTTCAAGACATTTGGAACAAGAAGCTACTAAGCTAGGGACAAGTGCATCGTTACTAGGAAGAAGGTGCCTTACTACTAGTAGCAAGAAGCTACTAGGAACAAGGGCATTTGGGTGCCGTTTCAGGTCTATCCCCACCTCTTCGATCAGTTGCATCGGAGTCGGAGCATAACTTGGCGCCCACCATCAACGCCCTCCCTGATGGCAAAGATGCCCAAAGTACAAGACTCAAGGGTTGCGATTGTCATGTCAGAGAGTCGCCCAAGTTAGCAACAAACACATGCAACCTGATGTGCTTGTGTAATCTTGTGTGCTGATGTTTCCTTTGGGTAAACGGATTGTTTTATTGTGCGGTGCAGTTGAGGTAGAAACGAGCTTCCGGATGTTGAAATTTATCCTGCAAACTTGTTGAGTGGTGATGGGCCTGCACAGAGTTCAGCATCATCTAGCTTGCCTGTTGCACTTTCT